TTACCTTTCTACTTCTTCCTCCACTCCGCATGCTCTCGGAGTTTTTCATGGTAGACTTAATAATAAAAAAAACTAATAATGAACTAAACAACTTCATTGTAAACTAACAACTTACTAATTGGGAAGTAGACGAAACGTTTGTTTGGCTTTTTGCTTTTGTTGACGTTCGCGTAAGTGAATCCGGATCACTAATTCCCATGCTCACGTAGAAAACCTTTAGAGAAAACGACCTGGGAGAGACTTTCACGTTCCAATCTTTCAATATTTTCCTCTTTTTAAATTATCTTTCCTTTTTTTTTTGCACCATTTGCATGTATGTCACTATAAAAAAAATTAAATTGATAATAAACATTAACAAACTGTAAAACTTTTGCACACATTTACAGGAAAAACTAATATCATAATAATGAAAAGAAAAAAAACTACTCACCACTTAGTCCTTCCTACATCATTTTCAGTAAAGGTTTTCTTTCTGATTGAGGGAATAAGACGTCCGAATTCACTAACACGAACGGCAACAAAGACACCGACCCATACAAACGTTTCATCTACAACGCCATCAATAAGTTGTTAATTTATTACCGCAAGTTTGTTTTTTATTATGTGATTTTCACCAAGAAAAAAAAAAAAAAAAAAAACACGAGCACTAAGGTGTGGCGGAAGAAGTAAACAGGTAAATAAGATAAATGAATGTAGGAAGAAAGGAGGAAGGAGGGACAAAATTATCAGAGATTCTTGAAGGTTTGAACGCGTTAGAAAGAAAATTAGTAATTTTATGAAAAGAAAAGAGGGAATGACGAACGCAGGAAGAATTATATTTACTTTCAAGAAGCAGAAGACAATAGAAACTGATGATTTGTTATTCATTTTGAATAAAGTTGCTGCAATCATGTTCAAAGGAGAACATTCTTCCTTTACAATGCTTTTGACAAAATAGTTTGAATTGGATCCTTGTTTGTTAGAAAAAAAAGAAAAAAACATCATTAAGTAGACATTTTCTCATGCCACAATACGTTATGAAGAGGTTGCTGGCATTTACTAGTGTGAAGTGCAGTGGAGGTCATATGAGTGCTTGAACTGTAACTGTGCTTTTATAGATGGAATTCTTATTTACCTGTTGTTTGCACTTTTTATGTATATACATTAGAGTCATGTTTTGGGTTTTGGGTTTAATCTTTATTGTAGATGTTTGGATGACAACTGAATGACTGCCACTAGCAGATAAAGGTTTGTCGCTCCTTTTGGTGCTCATGCAAAGAACGACAATGCTGCGCCATGTTTGCTTAGGAGCTTTTAGGGGAAGTTCTAAGGAAATGGATGACTTTTTCTATAATTTCCACATTTTTATTTTATCTACAATTTCTTTTAAAAGTTTGTTTGTATTTGCTGAGGGGGGGGTGGCAAGCTCCAGCGTGGGAGCATTTCTGATGGACGTATTTTCCTAGCCGAGGGTTCTGTTTCTAGACCCCCTTACTTTGGCTGTGTTTCATGAACTCAACTAGAAAAAGCTATAATCTTAGTAACCAAAGAGCTGCGAAGAATAATCTCTATCATAATTACTCTATACTACCTACGTCTTTGTACTTATTCATTAAAAATTTAACACTACTCAATACCAAACCATTACTATCATACCACTTATTTACTATTCACTATATACTATAATATATACTGGCATACTGTATATTCACACACTTAGCTATAATCTACTTGCCTAAATATATTAATACACACCTTAACTACATCTACATAAACAATTTATCAGGACAACCCTGATACATTGATATCATATCGAACTATTATATAACATTTAATACCCTAATATAATAATGGTATACTATTATCATCAATAACTTATATTCATCCTAAATAATATTATATATCTATAATATAACATAAATATTTATATATATAGACATCTATTATATTATCACACTATATTCACAATATATCTAACATACAAATAATATCTATAGCGCTATAGCATAGAATATATTATACATAATAGATCTATATTAACTAACTATATAATATATACTATAACTCATCTTATATATCATATATATAATCACTATCATATATACATAGTTTATATTCATCCCTCACCACTCTAGCTTCCCTTGGATACTTGAATACTATTTCTCAGATTCAGAGAAATGAATTTTTTATTTCTTTTTACTAAATGTACATACATTGTTCTTTATGTGAGATTTTGTTTGTATTAACCCAATTGCCCTATTTGGTATGCCTACAATTATTAAATTTATGGTAATACTTTCTAAGACAAATGCCTCTGAGTTAGTACAATGGCATCATGTTGGCCTCTCATCTAAGGGGTCAGCCATTTGCACTCTGCTCAGGTACGAGAAATTGCAACTGTTGCCTGGAAGTGGCCTCCTGATACTACCCCCCCTCCCCTCCTCTATTTCTTATCTCACCCCCTAGCTCTTTCCCCTTCAAATTCTCCAACACACACTACAACTGTCATCACTCATAGAAC